GAGTTTGTTTTTTGGGTTTGTTTTTTTTTTTTTTTGAGAGGTTTTTTGCTATAGGGCACGTGTGCTCGCCAGACAGACAGAGAGAGATAGAGAGACAGAAAGTGAGAAATCACCCCCCAGGCGGGGATGGTCACGCCGCAACCCTTCTCCTCCATTCTCCTCTCGGGATCTTGGGCACGCACGCACACGCACCTGGCGTGAGTTTTAAGCCCCGGGTCTGGGACACGAACCACAGTCAATTATGTGGGAGTCCAGCGACAGCCATTACACTAACTGCTGGTCCCAAGATTTGGGAGTTTTCAGCTATTCTTTCTTTTTTAAAAAATTTTATTTATTCATTCATTTATTTTAATTTGACCAGAGAGAGATATAAAGAGAGAAAGAGAGAAAAAGTGAGAAAGCAAGCCATCAGGTCTGGGACTCGAACCATGGTTAGCCATGTGGGAGTCTTAACCACCATGCCACCTGCTGGTCCCTCAGCTAATTATTTTATTTGACATGTTTTTAAAAATCTTTTCTCATCTCTTCTGCTTCTGAACTGCCTATATGTGAATATTTGTTTTCTTGATGGTGTCCCACAGGTCCTATAGTCTACTAGGCTTTCTAAAAATTCATTTCTATGGGACCAGCAGATGGCATAATGGTTACATCACTGGACTCCTACATGGCTGACCACAGTTCAAGTCCTGAACCTGGTGGCTTGAGATTCACACCAGGCCCCTGTACGTGCATGCCCAGGGTCCTGAGAGGAGAATCAAAGAGAATGGATCACAGCGTGGCCATCCCCCCTGGGGGAGCTGGTTTTTCACTTTCTGTCTCTCTGTCTCTCTCTCAAAGAATTCATTTTTATTCATTATTATTATTTTTTCTGTCTGACTGGATTGATTCATAAGAACTGTCTTCAAGCTCAGAGATTCTTTCTTCTGTTCATCTAACCTGTTTTTGAAATTCTTCATTGTTTTATTTATTGAATTCTTCAGTTGAGATTGAGATGGACATACTGCAGTCCCTTCATTCTTCTCCTGGAATTTTTGGGCATAGGTGCACAAACACCTAGCATGATTGTTAAGCCTCCAGGTCTGAGATTGAAACCAAGTTCAGCCATGTGAGAATCCAGCACCTTAACAACCATGCCACCTGCTGGCCCTACTTTTGGAGAGTTTTTTGTTTTTTGTTTTTTATGATATTTATCTCTTTGTTGAACTTCTCATTAATGTCATGAATTGTTTTCTCAATTTTGTTCAATTGTTTATTGGTATTTTCTTGTATCTCATTGAGTTTCCTTACAATTATTTTGCCCAGGCACAATGGTGGTACACACCTGTAATCTCATCTACACAGGAGGCTGAGGGAGGATGATCACGAGTTAGAGGACAGCTTAGGCAATATAGCCTGACAAAAATTTAAATAAATAAATAAGTATTTGAATTCCTTTTCAGGCATTTTATAAACACTCTTTTCTTCGGGCTCTGTTGCTGAAGAATTATTGTGTTACATAGGAGGAATCATCTTTCTTTATTGTTTTTCTCTTTTTTGGGGGGGTATATATTTTTTTTATTTGTCTTTTTCTCCTCTATGTTTTTTATGCTTCTGTTCAGTTGTTGGAAAAATCATGGCATGTCATTCTATGCAAAAGTACATCATGGCTTTTCCAACAATCCAGTACATTGGTATCTGCACATTTCATGAAACAGCTTCCTCTTTCAATTTTAAGGAGTAGTTTTTGTATAAGACTGTTTTTTTCCCATAGATGTGTCCTATAATGTTGATTGCATAGTGTACTTTGGCTTTGAGAGTGCGTGCACATACTCTGTTATGAAAAATAAAAACAGAGGGATTAGCAGTTGCCGTAATGGCTATGTCACTGGACTCCTATGTAGTCGACTGCGGTTCGAGTCCCGGACCCAGTGGCTTAAACTCATGCTGTGTGTGTGTGCCCAAGATCCCGAGAGGAGAATGGGAAGAGAAGGGATTGTGGTGTGGCTATCCCCCTTGGAGATGATTTCTCACTTTCTGTCTCTCTGTCTCTCTCTTTCTGGTGAGCACATGCGCCCTATAGCAAAAACCTCTCCAGTAAATAAATAAATAAGTAATTCTTTTTAAAAAATGTTTTCAGTAGGGACCAGCAGATGGCATAATGGTTACATCGCTGGACTCCCACATAGTTGGCTGTGGTTTGAATCCCAGACCCAGCAACTTAAAACTCACGTGGGCACGTGTGTGTGCCCAAAATCCCAAGAGAAAAATGAAAAAGAAGGGACTGTGATTTGGTCATACCCCAGGGGGTGATTTCTCACTTTCTGTCTCTCTGTCTCTGGTATGAGAACACACATACACTATAGCAAAAATCTTTCTAAAAAAAAAAAAAAAAAGTCTTCAACAAAATACACTCTGAGAGAGCAAATGTGACAAATTGGTAATTATTAAATCTCAGCAGTGGCATATTTTGCACTCTTCTGTGCCTGAACATTTTAAAATAAAAGCTTAGGGGGGACCTGTAGGTGACATGGTGGTTAAGGGAACTGGACTCCCACATGGCCAACTGTGGTTCGAGTCCCAGACCTGGTGGCTTGCTTTCTCACTCTCCCCCCCACTCTGTCACTCTCTGGTCAATTTAAAATAAATAAATAAAGTTAAATAAAATAATTATTTTTAAAAATAGTAAAAGCTTGGCAATCTAGGTGAGGGGCTCATAGAGCTGCAGGATGAGTGAGTGAGCCAGAGGCCACCACAAACAGATGAGGTTGGGACTCATTTTGTCAGCTCCTCTGGGTCAGGTTAAGAACTTTGGATTCTCTCCTGAGTGTGAGGAAGCCCTTAAAGGTTTCAAGCAAACTATGACATGATGTGATTAAAAAAAAAAAAAAAAAAGTAGATAACTTTAAAAAACTTTTTCCTTTAGAAGTTTGGCCAAGTGAATGACATAAACAATGGCTCACAGCCAAGCATCCAAACGCCACCAGTGTCTGCGCCTGGAGAGGATCATCATTGAAGGGGAAGTCAGAAGCTGCCCTCACGCCCACAGCTAATCGTTCCCAATAAGCCTAGATGCCTGGTTCCCAAAAGCTCTAGGAAAATAAAAACACATAATCACTTACAAGTTATAATCACCACACAGAAGCCAATTCACCACTGAGACCGATTAAATCGGTCCCTCCGCACTGGGGTCTGACCAAAGATTCTCCCAGGTGTTTTGTTTTGTTTTGTTTTAAGCTTATTATTATTATTTTGAAGAGCCAAAGAGAGAGCGGGACCCCGACAGGGTCCCAATGCCACTTTCCCTCCCAACGTCAGCCAGCCCCAGATCACAGGCAGTACGCATGTGCCCGGTGTACTCAGGGAGGCCTCTGGACACAGACCCAGAACCCTCCCCATGAGGCAGCTTTCCAAGCATCATGTTTCACTGCTGTGAAAAAGCCCAGCCTCCCAGGTGATTTTCGCAGTGGGTGGAGCCTGCAACCTGGGGTGAGGAACTCCAGCAGCCTGTGATGGACAGGCTCCCAAAGTCCTTGAGTACAAGGCTGCCCTTGGGGAACATTAAAGCGCTAAACTGCAAGGCCAAGTCCTCCTTCTCTGGCCTCCAGCAATTATAGACTGACCCTGGGGCCAGAGGACTCACAAGTCTAAGAAACCTGCCTTCGGGCTCTTCAGGACCTCCTCCTCTTCTTTTCCATTTAATTGACTTCTCTGATTATATCAGCGATCTGTATGCAGTGTAAAGAATTAAGGGAACCAGCAGTTAGCGTAATGGCTATGTCGCTGGACTCCCACGTAGTCGACCGCGGTTCGCGTCCCGGACCCAGTGGCTTAAATCTCACGCCGGGCGCGTGTGCGTGCGTGCCCAAGATCCCGAGAGGAGAATGGAGGAGAAGGGATTGCGGCGTGACCATCCCCCCTGGGGGGTGATTTCTCGCTTTCTGTCTCTATGTCTCTCTCTGTCTGTCTGGCGAGCGCACGCGCCCTACAGTGAAAATCTCTCCAAAAATAAAAAAAAAAAAAAGAATTAATATAAAACATAAGAAAGAAGGTCAGAGTCACTTGGAATCCCACTACCCTGAAATAGCCGCCAGCTAGCTTGCTGACCACCCTTCAAGTATTTCTTTCTCTTTTTTTAAAGAATTATTTAATTCTATTTATTACTACTCTTTTTTAATTTAACCAGAGAGAGAGGGAACATGAACAAGCAAGCTGCCAGGTCCAGGACTCGGACCACGGTCAGCCATGTGGGAGTCCAACACCTTAACCACCACACCACCTGCCGGCCCCTCAAGTATTTCTTTATGAGAATAGATACACAGGCCCCCACAGAGAGGTACCAGTGGGCCATAACGCAGGAGCTTGTGGGGCACAGCAGCCTTGCATCCTTTTGGCTTCTTTCTGCCCTCTGCCTCTCCTCCGCAGGTGACCAAAGCTAACAGCGATTTCCTCTCAACCCTTTTCTGCTCTCCGCTCACCTCCTCCTGGCCTCCTGCCGGGATCAAAGGCTACCACAAGCAGCTCTTTTCAGACAGGCTCTCACTATGTTGCCCAGTCCAGCCTTGAGCTCCAAGTCTCCTTAATTTGCCAGAGGGTGTGTGCACTCACCAGGGAGACAGAGAAAGAGGGAGAAGGAGAAAGCATCCCCCTCAATGGGGGCATGGTCACACCACAATCGCTTCTCCTTCGTTTCTCCATCTTGTCAAGATCTGGGGCACACACACGTGTCCGGTGTGTTTCTTAAGCAGCCAGGGCTAAGAGTCAAACCTGTGTGGTCGGCCAGGTGGGATCTAGCTTTCTTAACCACGAGGCCATGGGGCTGGCTCAATATACAATTGTATTGTATTTTTTAACATTTAATTTAGAATGTGTACATTGAAATCACAGAGAGAATGGTCTTTGGTTTCCTCTTCCTGGTTTGTCTTTATTTTGTTGTTGTTGTTCTTGTTGTCATTTGTTGGTTGGTTTATTCCATTTACCAGATTTTTATTTTAAGGTCATGCTGCTTCATAAAATAAATTAGAACCACTTCTCGGCTTTTTGGGTAGGATCAAGTGCAGTATCTGTTCTTATCAGGTTAATATCGGATACGTCCTCTATCCGAGGACAGTATATTAAGTGGGTTTTTGGAGCAGGGAGATGGAACAGGAGCTTGCTCGGTCCCCTCCACGCATCGACCTGGTCTTGCAGTACCTCCAGGAACGTTGCACCCCCCACTTGGGGGAAGCAACTGGCGAAAAACCAGTAAAGCTGACGGGTGTTCATGAAATAAATAAATTAGAGAGGGGGCCGGCAAGTGATGTGGTGGTTAAGGTGCTAGACTCTCATATGGTTCAAATCCTAGACCTGGCAGCTTTTTTTCTCACTTTCCTTTTCTCTGTCTCCCTCTGGTCAAATTTAAAAAAGAATATTAAATCAAATAAAATAATTAATCATTTTTTTAAGAATTATTTTATTTAACTTTACTTACTTATTTTCATTCGACCAGAGAGGGAGAGAGAGAGCGTGAGAAAGGCCCAGAACTCGAGCCTCAAGCCATGGTCAGCCATATGGGAGTCCAGCACCCTTAACCACCACACCACCTACCAACCCCATAAATAATTATTTAAAAAAATAATAAGTTAGAGAGTGTTCATCTTTTCCTATGACCTAGATTAATTTAAGTAACATTAGAATTACCTTAATTTTATCACTCTAAACTCTCTGAAGATTAGCTAACTTTGAAATCATCAAGACCTGATGCCGTCACAAACTTTATTATTTATTTGTTTATTTATTCCATGAGCAAGAGAGACAGGCAGACAGAGAAACAAAGAGACATAACCCCAACAGGGTCTTGGCACTGCGCTGCCCCCTGGCCTTGGCCAGCCCCCAGGCAGAGGCATGTGCATGCCTGACAGAGCACAGGGAGGTCAGACCCAAGTGCAGGCCAGAACCTTCCCATCGGGGCCAACCGCGCAGGGCCGACTTTTACCACTTCACCACGCCTGACCCTTTGTTTACAAAAACTTCCACATATACAAAAATACTTCCATGTAACATACATGGAAGTTAGGAGACATGGAATGACGCCAAGAGCCAGGTAAGGTGCCTTTGTGACTTACCCTTGCTGTCCCCAGGGTCCCGATTTGATTCGATGAGTGGGCAGACTTTGTGGCCACGTGCTGCTGCTCGGGAGGAGTGCGACCCTAGCGCAGCTCGTGTTTCCTCTCCCTCCCTTTCCTTTTCTTCTCCATGAGAAACTCCTGCTTCCCACGGACGGACTGGGAGGCTGAGGCAGTGCAGAGGCAGACCCTGCAGGGGGAAGGACAGATGGGGTTGGAAGCCCAGCTCTGCCACCTGTGTGGCCCTGGGTGACTTGGGCACCTGCATGAAGCTGGGTTTTCTCAGCTGTAAAATAGGTTTGTGTGAGGCTGAAAGGAGCTGGAGGCCCCAGAGCAGCTATTCGCAATCGTATTTCCTCCTCCTTTCTTCCTCACCCCTTCTCACCCTAACAAAAGAGAGCTGCGCTTTTTTTGTGCAGGCAATGGGAGCCGCTCAGGCCTTTGAGGCGGAGTGTCCCCAAGTCCAATAAAGCATGAGAGAGTGCGTTTACTGCCGGGACCTGGACTTAGCAGGGGTGCGGATGTAGATTAGCCTGCTGTTACAAATGGCGAAACTGAGGCACCTAGCGAGGCAGTTACTTGGCCAAGTACACACCGCTACCAAGTAACAGTGCTGGAGTTCAAACCCGGGTCCTTCTGACTCCAAGCCTCCCAGGCACTGGGTCTGTCCCCTCCCCCAGAATCTAGGGGACGCCGCCCTCCATAGCCCACTAAACCGCCAACTTCTCGGGAGGGACGTGTGTCACCCCAGTGTCCTGGTACCTTCTGCACCTGCCCCCGCATGAGTCACCGCCGGAGCCAGAATGAAAGAACCCAGTTCCCTGGGGGAGGCTCCCCGCAAATGCTCCTCGGGTTCTCATCTTAGTCACCACTGCTCTGGGTTCCCACCCCTCCCCCGCAGGCTCAGCCCCGACCCTGCAAAAGCTCCTGAGGTCTGATCCTGGGCTATCAGCAGGCAGGGATGCTAGCCCCTACAACCACCACTGGCTCCCCTCACCCGAGGAGAGAGCCGAGAACTTGCTAGGCAAGCACTGCCTCAATGCCAATCACCGCCCGGGCTCCCAGTGCTGACTCAGGCCCTGATCCAGCCCTGGCATCTATTAAGATGTTGAGTCCTCATAAGGACCCACTCAGGGGCCAGCAGTTGGCATAATGGCTATGTCGCTGGACTCCCATGTAGTCGACAGCAGTTTGAGTCCCGGACCCGGTGGCTTAAACTCACGCCGGGTGCGTGTACATGCCCAAGATCCCCAGAGGAGAATGGAGGAGAAGGGATTGCGGTGTGGCCATCCCCCTTGGGGGTGATTTCTCGCTTTCTGTCTCTCTCTGTCTCTCTGGCGAGTACACACGCCCTATAGCAAATGCCTCTCCAAGAATTTATTAAAATTAAAATTAAAAAAAAAAAAACACTCAGTAGTATTGCCCCTACTTTATAGCTGGGGCTACTGAGGCTCTGAAAGAGGAAAGGTTGACTGCTCAAGGTCACAGAGCCAGCAAAGGACAAGGCGGGAGTTGAACTCAGGCAGTCTGTGTGCACTTGCTGCAGGGCCTGCTCCTCCCCACTTCCCTCTGCCCACCACGACGGCACTGCGGCACCAGCACTGTGCCACGGGCCGGAGACTTCTGGGTCCTGCCCTAGGTCTTGTCCTGCCTTTTGAGCCCAGCCCAGACAGGACCTCTGAGCATGGCAAGCAGGGGCCGCCCTCTGGGGAAGCGGTAGGTGAGCTACAACCCGGCCTCATGGCCCCCTGCAGCTCTCCAGACGCCAGGTTGTTCACCCCGCTGGCCCTCGTAGGCAGCTCTCCTTGTTGGAACCCACACACACACTCTCTACTGGACCAGTCTCTCTGTACAGCTGGGGGTGGGGGTGGCGTCATCTCCTCTGGGAAGCCCTCTGAGGTGCGTCACCTAGAACCCTACACTCAAGAGTCCTAGCAGCTCTCCTGGCAGTGAGTCCTGAACTTGCCACCTGCTTGCTGTGACCATAGACAGATTACGGAACTTTCTGCGCCTTGGTTTATTCACCCACAAAATGGGACTGATGGTATCTCGAGGGGCTGTGAGGACCAGGGGATGCTAGGCGACATGCTTCTGACGGCGCTGGCCCAAGGCAAGTGCTCAGTAAAGTGGCTCTTCCCAGGTCAGCCACACTGGGCTGTTCTTGCTCACATCTGCCTCTTCCCTGGACCGAGGCTCGCGAGGGCAGAAACCACCCTGTTTCCATGCTCGTCCCACAGCCCAGCCCACGGCCTGTCCCCAAGGGCGACTCAACAATGTCTTGTTTATGGAATGGAAGACCAGGGAGCTGCTTCCTGCCACAGCCTGGGGCTGAGGGCTGGGCTCCGCTGTGCCCTAGCCCCACTGGACAGCTGGGCAGGCACCAGTTGGGATCGACAGGGAAGACGGGGTGCTGCACCATCGCTCGGCAACAGAACACGATGCTCTGAGGCCAACCCCCAGGGGAAGATTCCGAATTTGGGTCAGGAGACCTCCCCAAGCATGTCAGGTGCTGGCCCAGTCTGGGCTGGCAGAGTGGGGCTGAACTGAAGCGCTGAGCCCCGGGTGGAGTGTTGTCTCTCTTTCTCTGACTCCTGTTATCTCTGTCTCTCTTGCTCGATCACTTCTCTGGGAAGAAATAAATAAACTTAAAAAAAAAAAAAAAAAAGGAGGGCCAGTCAGTGACTTGGTGGTTAAGGTGGCTGGATCCCACGTTACTGACTGTGGGTTTCGAGTTCCAGACTCAGTGGCTTAAAAAACATGCTGGGCGCGTGTGCATGTGTGCTCAAAACTCAGAGAATGGAGGGGAAGGGGTTCTGATGTGACCTTCCCCAGGAGGTGATTCCTCACTCACTCCCACCCCACTCCCATCTCTGCAGTGAGCACATATGCCCTATAGCAAATAAAAAAAAAAAACACATCAGGATGAAGCTGTGGCTCACCCAGGCACACCTGTCTGCCACTGTGGCAAACAGCCCTTCCGGGCTGAACGTTGAGTCGAGCTGAGCCTTCCTGGATACGTGGCCTTGGGAGAGTCACCTCACCTCCCTGGAGCTTAGTGCCCTTATCTTTATTTGTTTATTTAGAAAGTTTTGCTATAGGGTGTGTGTGCTCACCAGAGTGACAGAGAGACAGAAAGCGAGAAATCACCCCCCAGGGGGAATGGCCACGCCACAATTCCTTCTCCTCCATTCTCCTCTCAGGATCTTGGGCATGCACGCACACGCGCCCGGTGTGAGTTTAAGCCACCGGGTCTGGGATGCGAACTGCGGTCAGCTACATGGGAGTCCAGCCACATAACCATTATGCCATCTGCTGGTCCCACAGTGCCCTTCTTGGTGAAATGAGGACACCAGGTCCTGCCTCCTGGGCTGAGAAGAGGGTTACTGCATCGCTGCCAGTGTTTCTGAAGCACTTCAGGCAGAGCTGGCCCAGTCGGCGCCATGGGGGCCTAGGTTAAACGAGATTAAGTGTCTGTGTCCCCTTCATGTGTTGCCACCACCTTTCCACATTCGGCAGCTCCCCTGCCCCGGAGACTGCAGGCCTGGGTCACAGCAGGATGTCTCCGGGGACTCCTTCTCACCGTGGTTGTTGGTGCCATCCTCAAGGGGCTGCCAGTCCAGCTTACGGGACGGGGGGTCCAGAGCCACG